TTTGAAAAATCTACACAAATGCAATCATACTATGCATATTGTTCTGCATCTTGTTACTTTTCAGTTAATAATATATCCTGGAACTCTTCCCAAAGCACATACAGATCTTATTATTTTTAATTTTGCAAGGAATCCCATGAAACGCATGTTTCATTATTTGTTTAACTAGCTACCTTACTGATGGGCATTTAGTCTGAATACAATTTTTTTTCCTATTAGAAACATTGTTATAATGAACACTGCTGTACATGTACCTGTTACCAGCAAAACCAGTTACCCTGGAGTCATTTCAGACTCATGGCAACCGCATGTGTGTCAAAGTAGAACATGCTCCTAGGATTTTCAATGACTAATTTTTTAGAAGTAGATCGCCGGGTCTTTCTTCCCAGGCGCCCCTGGGTGGACTCAAACCTCCAGCATTTCCATTAGCAGCAATTGGCAGCTGAGCATTAACCCCTTGCACCAGCCAGGGGCTCCATTACAAGCATAGCGTAGGATAAATTCCTAACAGAGGAAATGCTGTCTTTTAAAAGGTGTACACCAACTTCCACTGTACAAGTGTAAAGTATGAGTGCCTGAGTATTATGAAGTTTTTTAATCAATGACATTCTAAAACATGAAAATATCTTGGTTTTATCTGCATTTCTTGGATTATGTAAATTCCTGCACATTTTCATATATTTACTGGTTATTTTTATTGCTTTTTCTATAAACTGCTTATTTATATTCTTTATCCATTCTTCCATTTCTTCTTTTTCCTACCGATTTATATGAAATATATGTAAAGAAAGAACATCAGCCTTTGTCATATGTAGTGCAAATAATTTTTCCAGTTTGTGTTGATTTTTTTAGAATGTTTTATTTAGAACTAATTTTAGATTTACAGAAAAATTATAACAATAGTAGAGTTCCCAAATACTCTCATTCAACTATCCCTAATGTTAACATCTTACATAACCATAGCACAAATATCAAACCTAGAAAACTAACACTGTTATAATATTAACTAAACAAAAGACCCTATTCAAATTTTACCAGGTTCTCCTCTAGTATCTTTTTTTTCTTTTTCCAGGATCCCACATGGCATTTAGCAGCTTCTTTGTCTTATTTTTTCCTATGATTAGATTGAAATGATACATTTTTCACAAGAATACCAAAGAAATTATATTGGGCCCTTCTGAATGCAACATATCAATGGGTTTATGATGTCGATTTGTCTAATTACTTGTAATGTTAACCTTGGTCTAACACAGTATCCATTCCTGTCTCCACTGTAGTTACTATCTTTCCCATTGTAGTTAACAAATATCTTGAGAGAGATACTCTGAGACTATGAAATCTTCTTTTTCCTCAAACATTCACCCACTAATTTTAGCATCTATTAGGGGATCTTGCCTACAACAATGACTGCTGTGGCTTATGCTTAATAGCCATTTTTCTCTTTTCTTCCGCATTTATTCATTGGAATTCTACTATATAGGGAAGAGCTGTCCCCTCTCCATTTATTTATTTATCTATTTGGTTATCTGCAGCAGTATGGGCTCATGGACACATATTTAGTCTATGGAGGATTATCCAATATTGTCATTACTTATTTTTTGGCTTGAGTTTTCCAGCTTTGACCATTAGGCACTCCTCAGGTTAGCTCCTGTGTTCTTTCAAGACGACACCATCCTTTTGTGACTTCTTACTTTCTAGCACCACAAAATATTCCAGGTTCATCTTCTATTTTCTCTGCCCAAGCCTTAGAATCTCAATCACTTCTCTAAGAACTCTGGTTCCTTTTATTGACAATGGTATTTAGAAATCAAGATCTGGGTGGCAGGTATGTTCACTGCTAATGGAGTGTCACTGCTCCTAGGCCCTCTCAGTAGACAGAATAAGGAAATACATACAAACACTCCACACTTAAGTGACATGGTTAGGTTCCAAAGACCAGGTCATTATGTGAAAATCGGCGTTATGCGAAAATTGAGGATGAACATATAAGATCACAAGATGGAGGATGACGACATCATTACATAACTACCAAATTACATCATTAAATAGTTGCCAAACCGCTGAGAATCATGGCCCAGCCAAGCTGATACATAACCCTAACCATCAAAGCCAGCATTCCTCTTGCCTTGCACCTCAGCGTTTATCACAGCCAGATGTACGTCATTAATACACAAAATAGTCTGACAAATTTTTTACTATTGTCGTAAATGCAAAATGTTAGATAACAAGATAGTCGATAAGTGAGGAGTGGGTGTCTGTATCGTAATCTGCGGAGTGGTGCGAACGGTTAACACATATAGCTACTAACCAAAAGGCTGGAGGTTCGAGTCTACTCAGAGGTACCTCAGAAGAAAGACCTGACAGTCTACTTCAAAAAAAATCAGTTATTGAAAATCCTATGGAGCACAGTTCTATTCTGACACACATGTGGTCGACAAATCAGAAGCGACTCAATGGCAACTGGTCTATACTAACTCACGCATACATACACATCTATGCATTTTTTCCAGCTAATTTCTATCTATGTATGTAAGCAGCCCTGCTGGTGCACTGGTTAAGCACTCGGCTGCTTAACCAAAAGTTCAGCAGGTCAAATCCACCAACCACTCCACGGGAGAAAGATGTGACAGTCTGCTTCGGTAAAGATTACAGCCTTGGAAATCC